AGAGTGGGGCAGATAGCCGTATGGCAGGAAGTTGTATGTAAGCCAACTAAGATTAATCTTGGTTAATTACATTTTCTGACTTTAGTTAGAGTGACATCATAGCATCCAAAATGGAAAGTCATTACACACGTACTGTAAAAATACCCACTCCACAGATAATAAGAAACTTCCCTCAAATACAAAAATCTAAACCTGAAATAAATTTGCATTCTTAGAGATATTTTACAAAGAAAAGATGTCTAAAATATTTTCCCTCTGAGTCAGTATCCCTCTAAAGTTTATTGTGGTGTGTGGGTAGCATAACGTAGAAGACAGTCAGTTACAACAAAATTAAATAGACTCTACTTCAACAACCAGAGAAATCTGATTATAGTCTGGATATTAGGAGAAACCGAGGAAGTACTGTCCTTTCTATTACGTGTGATATTGACATTATGGTCATGTGAGAACATAAATATATATTTTAAGAGAGGCTTAAATATGTAGGAGTGAGTTGAAATAACTTCTAGGGTTAAAAAAAAATAATTTAGAGGAAAAGTGAGAAGGGATAGTGCAGCCAAATCTTGCTAATTGTTAAATCTAAGTGATAGAAATATGAAAGTTTACTGTTCTACTCTGTCCACTTTTGTGTGAGTTAGAAGCTTTACATAATAAAAAGTTTTTTTAAAGAACATTAAAATATTTGGTTTATCAGTTTATTTTTTGCATATGCAGAGCATGATTAGATGAGAGAGTTCTGCCATATTTGAGACTATCTGTTAAAGGATTTTTTCTAGCTTACTAGCTCTCAAACTTGAGTATGCATTAAAGTCCCCTGGAAGACTGGATACAGCTCACATTGCTGAGTTCCCTCCCCCCAACTCCAGAGTTTCTGATTCAGTAGGTCTTTGCAGGGGCCCAAGAATTTGCATTTTGAACAAGTTCCCATTTGACCCTGATGTTGCGGTCCATGGACCACACTTTGAGAACCAACACTCTAGCTAAACCATCTCTCCTAAATCGCCCTGTTTAAATAGTAAGGTAGATGGATCTGGAGTCTGTCACATAGAGTGAAGTAAGACAGAAAGAGAAAAACAAATATCATATATTAACACATATATATGGAATTGAGAGAAATGGTACAGATGGACCTATTTGCAGGGCAGGAACGGAGATGCAGATGTAGAATGGATGTGTGGACATGGTGGGGTAAGGAAGAAGGGATGGGTGGGATGAATTGGGAGAATAGGATCGACAAAAATACACTACCACATGTAAAGTAGACAGCTAGTGGGAAGTTGCTTATACAACACAGGGAGCTCAGTTGGCGCTCTGTGATGACCTAGAGCGGTGGGATGGGGGGTGGAAGGGAGGTTCCAGAGAGGGGATAAATGTATATATAGTTGATTCACTCCATTGTACAGCAGAAACACAACATTGTAAAGCAATTAAACTCCAATAAAAAAAAAATAGAAACAAACTACTCTGTTTCATTTTTTTCTGTCACCAATTCCATTCTTTTTTAATTTAATGTCAAGTATGAGCTTTAATTGTTCACTTTGGCCAGCTTCTGAGTCTATTTAATTGATTCTAGAATATGCTAAGAGTCAAATCTTGAGACTTTAGTATTAAGATTTTTCACTGTTTGATCTTAATCTACTCAGCTTCCCAATCTTATCATTCACTCTTCTCCCGACTCCAACAATATCAGGCTACCTGACTTCTAAACAAGTTAGTCAAATTCCTACCTCAGTCCCTTTGCCCATGCCATCATCCCCTCCTGAAATGCACTTGTGCACTTAACACACATAGACTCACACACCGAGTCCAGTCCAAGTACCTCCTCTTCCATGAAGCTCTCCTGGGCTACCAGCATCCATGGTGATGACTCTGCTGAACCTCTCATTTTAAACTAATCAAATCCTGTCTTATAATAATTTCTATGTTATTATTTGTTATATACTTGCATCTTGTCTCTTCAATATAGTGCAAGCTTTGCAAGGGTAGGGGCTATGCTTTATACAGAACTTCTTTGTACAGGCCACAGACTTCAGCCTAGAACTATAGGCAAGGTCATTTACCCTACAAAATGGGGGAGGGAGATAACTTACTTTTTCTCTAAAGGAAATAATGGGATGGAACCTGAAATCTGCAGATGCAGAAGACATATCAGAGGCAATCAGATCAGAAGACATATCACATAAGAGGCAACAGAAATCTAATATCTGTTTACCTCCAAGCAGTGCTCTGAGACTAATTAATGTTTACATAGGTCTTTGAGATGTTCAGATGGAAGGGGTTTAGAAGAGTTGGAATGATGATGATGATCCCTGGGACTCTTTCAAAATTTCATACCAAATTTCATAGCACCCCTCAGGTTTACCCAGGCTGGGAAGAGGGTCGAGGGCCACTCCTCTGCTGGTGGCTGAAAGGGGACTTTCCAACAGCGCTTGAGATTTTCAGGGAAAACAAACTTTAAGATAAGGCTGACAGTGTTGAAAATCCCAACATAAAACACCCTTGGCTTCCTGAGCAAAACTGAAACCAGAATGCTCCTTTTCATCCTCCTGCAGGGATGCTGGACTCTAGAACTGATTCTCTGCTTCACTTCTGCATCACAGGCTGGTGTCAGGATTGTGCCTGCAGCTACCTGGATTATGTTTGTACTATAGCAGCTCAAAGGCATTTTTGGCCTGAGTTTATATATAGATATATATATACACACACACACACATATAAATATATGCTTTATTATCTATTTATATATAATATATTATAAATATATAATATATATAAAGTTTATATATATAGGGCTTCCCTGGTGGCTCAGAGATTAAAGCATCTGCCTGAAATGTGGGAGACCTGGTTCGATCCCTGGGTTGGGAAGATCCCATGGAGAAGAAGATGGCAACCCACTCCATTATTCTTGCCTGGAGAATCCGAAGGACGGAGGAGCCTGGTGGGCTACAGTCCATGGGGTCGCAAAGAGTCAGACACTAAAATATATATGTGTGTGCATGCTCAGTTGCTAAGTCATGTCTGACTCTTTGTGATCCCACGGGTGGTGTGATGATAAAGAATCCACCTGCCAAGGCTGGAAACACAGGAGAAACAGTTTCAATCCCTGAGTCCGGAAGATCCCTTGGAGAAGGAAATGGCAACGCACTCCAGTATCCTTGCCTGGAGAATTCCGTGGACAGAGGAGCCTGGCTGGCTACAGGCCATGGAATCGCAAAGAGCTGGACACGACTGAGCGACTAAGCACACGTGTATAGTATACATATATATGTGTATATATGCGGTGGTTTAGTTGCTAAGTCGTGTCTGTATATATGTATATGCTACCTAGAGTTCTGCTCTTCAGGAAGCATCCTCTCTTTCTCTCTTAAAAAATACCTCAACCCTATATGCAAAAAAAGAAAAAGAGACTCAGATGTATAGAACAGACTTGTGGACTCTGTGGGAGAAGGCGAGGGTGGGATGTTTCAAGAGAACAGCATCGAAACATGTATATCTAGGGTGAAACAGATCACCAGCCCAGGTTGGATGCGTGAGACAAGTGCTCGGGCCTGGTGCACTGGGAAGACCCAGAGGGATAGGGCGGAGAGGGAGGTGGGAGGGGGGACCGGGATGGGGAATACATGTAAATCCATGGCTAATTCATTTCAATGTATGACAAAAACCACTGCAATGTTGTAAAGTAATTAGCCTCCAAAAAAAAAAACCTCAAGAGGTCTCTTGATTATCAATTGAAAATCTGTGTGTGACCCAAGCTGGAGAATGTTGCATCAACATCTCAACTTAGATTTTCTTTAGCCCTCATTTTCTCTCTCTCTTTTTTAAAAAAAAATATTTATTTATTTATTTGACTGCTTCAGGTCTTAGTTGCAGTACTGGGTTCTTTAATTGTGGTATGTGGGCTATTTTACTTGCAGCATTTGGGATCTAGTTCCCTGACCAGGGATTGAACCTGGACCCCCTGCATTGGGAGCTCAGAGTCCTAGCCACTGGACCACCAGGGAAATCCTTCTAGCCCTTATTTTCCTTGGTAACAACTCTCCTTTCTCTTTTTTCTTTTCTTTATTCCTGCATCCTTGTTTAGGTTGACTTGGCTTGGTACTACTTTGGTTTTATGGTTAATAATTCATTAACCATTAAAAAAAAATCTCTGACTCCATAACTATGACTGCCTATGTCAGATGAAAAGAAAAGAGCTCCAATACCTTTACAGGCCCAGGCAGACATAGGTACGGTTATAATTAAATAGTAAATCACAACAAGATACCATCAGAGGCATGCCTCAAATGTGCTGGGAAAAGTCAAACATTCTCACCTGCCAGCAGGAAAGAAAGAAAGAAAGAAAAAAAAAGAATGGCCCAGTCAAGCTTGACCAGACAAGGTTTATACCTGGTATGATCATAAAGCCACTCCTGGCCTGTATTTCCAGGAATAAAAAATCCAATGTACAAAGAGCCAGGGTCATATTCCACACCAGATGCTAATTCCTTTCTTAGCTGCAAGATCAGATCAAACCATTTCCTGGTTGGCAACGGGCAACTTTGGTTAGACTAATGCATGAGATTAGAAGTCCTCAGACTGCTATGACTTGTATGCCAAGAAAGTCTGCAATTTAATTAAGACAAAAACGACAACAACAAATTGCATAAAAAGTCTCCACTTCAGGCCCTGAATTAGAAGGAACCCCAACCTGGATCTGCCATCAGTTAACCAGGATCTCAGGGCTCCTTCCTTTGGCCTTGAAGACTCATTGTTGACATTGTTCTTGCCCAAGGACATCAGTGTGGGTGGCCCTTAATTCCTGACTCAGACTTTAGGAAAACAAGCAAATAAGCAGTGGAGGAGGCCCAGATTCTCAGCCTCTAACTGCCCTTTGAGCCCAATTCAGGACATGCTTCTGTGAAAGAAGTATGTCTCTCTCCTGGGAGAATGTAAACGGATGAAAACTTAATGATGCCTCCTCCCCACGTTATTTTTATAGGAAAATGTTTCCTGAGGTGTACATGACTGGCTCATTACTTTTGGGATACAAATCTCCCAGTAAGATGATGACTGTGTGTCCTCATCATAAGGATCTGATACTGGAAGAGACCGTACAGGTAAGACAGTCCAAACTATGATTTTTCTCTGCCTTCTTTTAGAAGGCTCCAAGGTAAAGGGATCAAAGGGTTTGCCACAATTATAGAGCCACGGTCTGTAAAGTGTCCTCTCAGTGTGGCTCCCGACCATCTGACAGACACAGCCTCACCTGGGAATGTAATAGAAAGGAAACTTCTCAGGCCCCATCCCAGACTTTCAGAATGAGAAACCCCAGGGATGGGGCCCAGCAATCTATTTTAACCACCTGACCAGATGGTGTAAAGTTTGAGGACCACTGGTTTGTAGGAAAAACATATATTTACAGGGGCAGAACATTGGGGTGGGGAGGCAGACTTTATTATCTGTCTTGAAAGAAAAGTGAAAGTGAAAGTTGCTCAGTCATGTCCGACTCTTTGTGACCCCATGGACTATTCAGTCCATGGAATTCTCCAGGTCAGAATACTGAAGTGGGTAGCCTTTCCCTTCTCCAGGGGATCTTCCCAACCAAGGGATCGAGCCCAGGTCTCATGCATTGCAGGCGGATTCTTTACCAGCTGAGCCACAAGGAAAGCCCAAGAAAATTGGAGTGGGTAGCCTATCTCTTCTCCAGCAAATCTTCCTGAGCCAGGAATTGAACCAGGGTCTCCTGCATTGCAGGCAGATTCTTTACCAACTGAGCTATGAGGGAAGCCTATCTGCCTTGAGTGTGTGTATAAATAGCCTTTGTTTTTCTCCTTTCTTTGCAACACAGTTACTTCATGTGAAAATTTAAGGGTATCTTATTTTGCCCACTTAGCCAAGAGAGGGCTGATGATGTAATGCAAGAGCATTCTCTTTCTACTCGCCTTTCATCTCATGATAGAGCCAAGATTCTGCTCAGAGACAAGTACTGCCCCTGCCAGTGCCTGCCCTGGAGGCTGCCAGGCAAGGAGCTTTCCCGTATAATTCACAAGCAGCCTGGGCAAGCTAAGGGAAGAAGTCTGCAGGAGGACCACCTGGTCAGGAAACACCTGGTAGGGAAGGCCACACATGGTCAGAGGAGCTGAGGGGCTGGGGCCTCCAAAGCAAGGACAAATGTCCCCAGTAGCCTTCCATGCGCTGTTCCCAGAATAAAGGATGGAAAGGTGGGGGTGTGCCCAAAGGGTTCTGAATCCAGTCAGAGAAAGGCATAGGATGAAGACTATTCATAGAAATCTGTATTTATCACACGTGGCTGGCATTTTCCTGTTTATCTTTCTGCCTTGACAAATTCAGCTGGGACTTTTTATTTTTTTGGCTGCCCCCCACGGCTTGTGGGATCTTAATTCCCTAACCAGGGATAGAATCTGGGCCCCCAGCAGCAGAAGTGAGGAGTCCTAACCACTGGACCGCCAGGGAATTTCTTCTTGAGGAAAGGGCTATTACCTGGACTTCATAGCCCTGCCACTGGGTGTCTAGTGAAGTCATTCAGTACTGTGTGTGGAGACAAGTTAGCTGGTTACTGAACTTGGGGAGGCAATATAGGATAACAGTTAGGTGTAGGAATCAGACTGCTTGGCTTTTGCATTAGATAGCTGCTTGAATTTGGGAGAGTTATATGACCTCTTTGTGCCCCAGATTTCTACAGAAAAAAAAAAATCAGTAATAGTATTAGTATCTACTTAGTGAGACTTGAAAGAGATAATCCATATAAGTGCCTGGTATGTCAGTATGAACGAAATCAAATTCCCCAAACCCATCCTGACAATGTCTCACCTGCATCTTTGTTTCTGCCATTCTGCTCTTTGGGGATTCCCTGGGCCCAGTCCCCACCAGTCACAGAGGTTAACCTGTGCCTCCTGTTTCTCCAGTGAAGTGAAAGTGAAGTCGCTCAGTTGTGTCCGACTCTTTGCAACCCATGGACTGGGGCCTGATTTTCCAGGCAAGAATACTGGAGTGGGTTTGCCATTCCCTTCTCCAGGGGAATCTTCCAGGCCCAGGGATCGAACCCGAGTCTCCTGCATTGTAGGCAGACACTTTACCCTCTGAGCCACCGGGGAAGCTGGTTTCTCCAGAGTTCACCTCAAATACCACTTCCTTGCAGAGCGCCTCTCGCTTGATCGCTTGTGCCATCAGCCACACAGCACTGTGTTTTTATATTTTTGTGGTATTCATCACATTTTCCCTCCGACTGTATAATGTACAAAGGATCTCAGGTTACTCGCTCTGTTTCATCTCTGTTTCCCTCTGAAGTGCCAAGTGAGAGGAGGCCTGAAAGTGAAAGTGAAAGTCGCTCGGTCGAGTCCGACTCTGCAACCCCATGGACTATATAGTCTATGGAATTTTCCAGGTCCGAATACTGGAGTGGGTAGCCTTTCCCTTCTCCAGGGGATCTTCCCAACCCAGGGATCGAACCCAGGTCTCCCGCATTGCGGGCGGGTTCTTTACCAGCTGAGCCACAAGGGGAGTGCCAAGTGAGAGGAGGCCTAGATTGAGCATATTGGTGTTTCAACGTTTTCCTGTCACAAGGATTCAAAATCCCAGTTCAATTCGACTTATAATGTGGAAGGATTTTTCTTGCTCATGAGGTGGAAAATTCCTGAGGAAATACATTCAGGCTTCACATGTGGTGCCATCAGGGCTTGGGCTCTGTGTCCTGGAATTCCCTCAGTTCTGGTTTCTGAGGTGTCATCTCGTTCTCAGTACAGCTAGTAGCAATAGGCTGGGCCACAAACTTCTTGGTTCAAGTCTAGGGAGAGAATGTATTTCTCTAAACAGCAAATGAAAGTCTTTAACTTCACTCTGGTCAGGCCAGTTTACATCAGGTACTCATCCCTTAACCCATGAGAGACAACGGAGGCAAGAGGGTGGGATCCCCCTGGTCAGTCAGTTTTCCCTCAAATGAGGCTACATTCAACTCCTCTCAAACTCCTGCTGCTCCACAGTGGGGATGCCAAACACAAGTCAGGGGCTGCTGAAGAAGGAAAAGATATATATATATACCTCACACTTGTCTGCTAGTCTTTACAATATCTTTGTCAGGCAGTTTCTGGGTAGCTTTTTAGATAACACTGAAGTTCAGCAACAACAAACATTTAGAACTCAACATACCTTCTTAAAGCCCATTTCTATATCTTATTTTATTTCACCTTTCAAACCTCAGAAGTAAACATATCCTCGTTATTCAAACAAGTCTCTCCTTTAGTTATTTTTAATCATGTAACAGCACCTATATAGCCACCCTCAAGAGACATCTGCCTTCCTCCATCTCAAGGAAATTCATCCTGAATCCTGTGTTCTCACTTATTTGCTTGTCTTTTCATATCATTTTATTTCATCTCTATCTATTTCTACAAAGTACATTTAAATTTTAGTCATTTTTAACTGTATCAAAAGGGTCTCATCATGCATATAATTGTTTGGAATTTATTTTTCATATATTGCTAAGATCCAACTATATTGTTACATGAGGCTATAATTCATGTTGTTGTAACTTCTGAATCATATTCCATTGTGGTAATAAAACAGAGCTTAACCATCTACTCTCCTTTTAATTGGCACTTGAATTGTTTTGGGGTTTTTTGTTAGAGTGAAGAGAATGGATACTTGTAAAAGAAGATCAACAAGGAGAAACTTACTCTGTAGACAACAAAACCTATCATGAAGCTACAGTAATGAAGCTGTGTAGTGCTGGCTCAGGGACAGACAGACTGACCAATGGAATAGAATAAGATGTTATGAAACTTTGCTGTGTGTCAGAGGTAGTATTTAAGACTATTGGGGAAAGGAGAGACTACTCAATAAGTAGAGTTGGATAAAATTATTATCCCACGTGAATGAAGTCAAATTCCTACCTCAGAGTATAAGCAAACATAGACATCAAAGGGATCAAGATCTTAAATATTAAAAAAAATAAATACAATATTTAGTTTTCTCTTTCTGACTACTTCACTCTGTATGGCAGATTCTAGGTCCATCCATGTCTCTACAAATAACCCTATTTCTTTCTTTTAGTGGTTGAGTAACATTCCATCGTATATATGTACCATATCTTCTTTATCCAGTCATCTGTCACTGGGCATTAGGTTGTTTCCATGTCTTGCCTGTTGTAAATAGTGAGGCAATGAAAAATGGCACAGATGAACATATTTGTAGGGTAGGAATAGAGACACAGACACACAGAATGGACATGTGGACACAGAGGGGAAAAGGGAGGGTGGGACAAATTGGGAGATTAGGATCAACATATGTATACTATGAACAAAGCTAGAGGAGGTGATAGAATTCCAGCTGAGCTATTTCAAATCCTAATAGATGATGCTGTTAAAGTACTGCACTCAACATGCCAGCAAATTTAGAAAACTCAGCAGTGGCCACAGGACTGGAAAAGGTCAGTTTTCATTTCAATCCCAAAGAAAGGCAATGCTAAAGAATGCTCAAACTACTGCACAATTGTACTCATCTCCCATGCTAGTAAAGTGATGCTCAAAATTCTCCAAGCCAGGATTCAACAGTACGTGAACCACGAACTTCCAGATGTTCAAGCTGGATTAGAAAAGGCAGAGGAATCAGAGATCAAATTGCCAACATCCGTTGGATCATCGAAAAAGCAAGAGAGTTCCAGAAAAACATCTACTTTGGCTTTATTGACTATGCCAAAGACTTTGACTGTGTGGACCACAACAAACTCTGGAAAATTCTTAAAGAGATGGAAATACCAGACCACCTGATCTGCCTCCTGAGAAATCTGTACGCAGGTCAGGAAGCAACAGTTAGAACTGGACATGGAAAAAAGACTGGTTCCAAATCGGGAAAGGAGTACGTCAAGGCTATATATTGTCACCCTGCTTATTTAACTTATATGCAGAGTACATCATGAGAAACGCTGGGCTTGATGAAGCACAAGCTGGAATCAAGATTTCTAGGAGAAATATCAATAACCTCAGGTATGCAGATAACACCACACTTATGGTAGAAAGCAAAGAAGAACTAAAGAGCCTCTTGATGAAAGTGAAAGAGGAGAGTGAAAAAGCTGGTTTAAAACTCAACATTCACAAAACGA